CAACAGTTTTTGGTTGATATAATTCGCTTTTTTTTCAGAGGATCTGCGATAGTCACGACGTCTTTTTCACAGTTTTGACTCTGTTGATCCACTGATTTTTTTGGTATGACTAGATTCCGCTATCTCTGGAATTGTCCTCAGTTTCTGTATCTGCAAACAATTTTGAAGTTTGTTGTCATTTACCAGTTTCTTTTAAATTGAATGTTGCTATATCGATTTTTGTGGTTTTTTTGTATTTTGGTTTCTCTTTCCCTGCGGAGTTGAATCGTCTCCAGCTGCACCTTTACTCGTATAACTGGTCCTTTTGTTAAGAAACGCTCCATTAACTTTTTTTCGGTAAGTATTTTCTCCGCCCGAGTATCAGTTCTTTTGGTAAACTTTGCCGACGTTTCCCTATTTCCTTCATTCTTGCATGTTGCTCCTGTTTTCTGGTTAAGAACGGCTCTACTGCCTTTAGTTTCTCAGATCAAACGGTTTTAAAACTTTAGCAGTCTCTAATCTGATTTGAGCCGAAAGGAAAGTTGACTAGTCAAGCTAATTTGCTCTTTTTCCCCAGTTGTGTTCTGTTGGACCAATATAATCAAACTTCCGATTTCCCCCACTGATTGTAGTTTCTTGTTTGAATTTGACAACCGATTGAGAATATATAATACTTTTGCAGTATAATATGCAGAATGAGTTCCTATTTCAGTCTTTGTTTGTTGGAAAAGAGTGTAAACAAGGTAGTAGCACAAAAATTACCACTAATTTTAGTTTAAATTAGTTTAATTTGGAAACTGAGATTTTTTGTCATAAAAAACCATCTCTAATTGATCTAAAAGCAGAATAAAATATTTACAGTTTTGTTAATTTTGTTTGCAAAAAAGCTTGATTTTCCTAATGATCCATTGCCCAAACTAACCCAATTTACCCATTTGAGCCATTATTTTTTTGACTCTTGCACCTATTAAGCTTCAAGTTCATTTTGCTTATCGAGCATATAGTCCCAGGTTTCATGCATTGTCCGCAGGGTTAAAAAGAGATGAAAAGTACGACTAATTGGTGTGGATGTCCAGACCCGGAAATATGGAACATGCACTAAAAGATCCAGGCGACAATGAAATGATTCATGAAGACAAAACTTTATTTATTTTTCCATCTTATTTCAGTAATGATGAAAAGGCTCAGTAGAAATGTAGGGAAAGGATAATTCTCGTTGAAACTTAAAACCAGAAAAATGATCAATAAGTTTATCTTTTTCATCAATTTAACAAATCCCTGAGAAAAGTAGTATGCAAACTGAGCCTTGTAATATGTTTTTAATAGCAGTGGTTTGCAAATTTAAGGGCCTTATTTGAAGCAACAAAAGGTTAACTTTTCTAATGAAAAACAATAACAAAATTGGATAAATTTTATTATTTATTCATGTTTTTTTTCTTAGTTTTAACAAATCTCTAAAAAGTGCACATAATGTGTTGTGCGATAGAGCCAATTTCGGTATTCAAAGACTTGCTTAATTGAATTTTGTATTTCATATCACAGAATCGTCTCTTTTTGATTCCAGTGGTTTTAAAATCTGAGTAAGTTCCCTGAGGAAAAAAATTTTAAGCGATGGAATGTGTCTTAATCGAGATAAATTATTGCACCATGGTTCTTGGCCTGGGTGAGAGCGATGTAAGCAGGTCAGCACTGCCCGTTGGAGACAACTTGGGATCGCAATTCTGTCATCGATGATTATGCAGCCGTCAACCACCGCTGCTGAGTCCCAAAAAGGTCTTGATATAAGGGTCTATCCTGGCGAAGCCTTCATAATCCTTATTTCTTATCGCTGTCTTCATCAGTCTGAGCCTTTTATTTTCGTCTGTTAGCTCGCTGAGGATGTCTGCGTTTCATATGCCTATTAGTCCTGAAGTGATTTCTTATCTCAGGCGAAATCCGACGAACCAAGTACGCGACGAACCAAGTACGCCATTCAAGATATACCAATTGTTTTATCAGTTAAGAGAGTCTGCCGGTTGTTATTCCACATTAGTTACCAAACTTGATCGCTTGAATACTGATCGCTTAACTTTTGGCTTCGATCAAACAGTGAAATTTCGTCAAATTAATGTATCGAGCACACGTTTTGTTTTTAGTTGTTGCTATTTCAAATTTATTTGGTTTCAGAATGCTTTGACTTCTAAATGAAAATCGCACCATTGATTTTTCCTGTAACTAGTTTTCTCCGCCCCAATATCGATGCTTTTGGAGGAATTCGCCGTTTTCCTACTTCCTTCATTCTTGCGGGCTGCTCCAGTTTTCTGGTTGAGAACTGGAAATTTATTTTGCTACAATATTTCTATATTAATTCACCGCGCTTGATTAAGCTCAACTTTTGACTATCACCAAACGTTTTTTTAATTTATCCAGTGAAATTTTTGAAAATTAATGTACCAAGCTTACGCATTGTCTTCTATTGCTTATTGTTAATTAGAAAACTGAAGTTTTGAAATTTTTAAGGATATGTTTTGATGAGTAAATTATCAAAAAAGTTTTGGTCGGCTTAAATTTTAATCATTTTATTTAGTTTTTTCTTTTTTGTTTCAAGGCTCTAATAACGCTCTGTTGACGTTGTCACATTAAAAATTTGAAGGCCGTAAAAAGACATTTTGAAGCAGAGATCTTCAGTTTCAGAGAAAAAAATTGCAAGCAAAATAAAAACGCAAAATGTTTTAAATTTACAGCCCTAAAAAGAAAAGAAAACCTGAAGTTAATTTTTTTACTTACTCAAATGGAAATAAAGAAAAAAATCAAACAGAATTGATCGCTCAATAAAACGTTTCATAATTTCATCAAAAATTTGAAAAAAGCACTAGTTTGTGCAATTATTTCGGTTCTAGATTCTGGTGTTTGCAAATTTTCATGTTTTTTGCACAACAGACTCGGTTTTTTTAAAACAACACAAAACCAAGGCTTCAAACAAACTTTAAATTTTTTTTAAAAAATAAAAACTATTAGGCAATAGTTTTTATTGCACAAACTATTATGTGCATCTTTCAGAGATTTGTTGTAACTGAGAAAAAGATTTATTGATCGATCATTTCGAATCAATTTTTGGTTTCTTTCAGCTGAGTAAAAAATCGAACCTTAGGTTACTTTATAAAAGACGTTAATTTGTAAACCACTGTAATCGAAAACAATTTCGCAAGCTAATTTATCCAATGTAAAATTGTTGTCAATACTAATTAAGTTTTAACCGACTTAACTCATTAAGTGTATTTGCTTTTAGATAATTTTCTCGAGACATTTTCAATTCTGAAATATTAACTTTGAAATTTGATAATGTCTAGGATGAGATCTTATGATTGTAATCTAACAGAAAATGCCAACTCTTTGTAAATAGGATGTTGAATCAGCGGTTTGCAAAAAGAAATTTTTGAAGAAGCGTTTTTTTGAGAAGTTTTGACAACTTTTTTCCTGTCAGTTTTTTCGAATCCTTTAAAGCTCTACTGTTACTCTAGAAGGATTTTAAATTTTGGAAAAAGCTATGTGCAAGCAATTTTTGGGGCAAAACACAATTTTCATAGCACGCTGCTAACTCAAAAATAATAAACACTGGCGCCGGAAAATTAAATCAGTTGGTATGCTAGAAAAGGCTGCCGTTAACTAGCGCTATAGGAGGACAACGTATTATCTGCTTTAAGTAAAAGGCAACAAGCACGCGACTATGTTTGGATGCTGTATTTATGTCCCTTCCACTAAAAGGTTTTCACATGGATCATCTGAGTGCTAAGCTTTTTTGTGGTATCATCTGAGTGCTAAGATGCAGACTTATTAGGTTTTTTTAGGTGGTGGTTCTAACAAGTTTTAAGCCTATTTAATCAACTACAGCACGCAAGTAGATATTAATGTGTGGACGATTTTCTGTAAACCGTGAACAGTGAATTTTTATGTTCGGAAAACTAGTTTTCGAAGCTTATTTAGCCCTTTTTTGGCATCAAAAAAATTCAGCAAAACAAATAGCAAAAATTGACATCTTTGTAAACGTTATTAAATTTCCGGAGATTAAAGCAATCGAGTATTCCAATTCCAGAATTGCTAACAATGTAAACAATCTTTGAGTTTCTTTTATCACATCAAAAAGTTGTCAAACGGTGAAAAAAATTTCATTATCCCGAGAATGTGGTCTTAATTTTCTGCTAGTTGCGCACAAATTCTTTACTACACTTAAAAAGAATGAATTATATTTCACAATTAAATGTTGATTTGTCGCGATTCGAATAATTTACATTTTCTAAAAAAAAGTTGCCGAAAAAAATGAGTTTGAAAGATATTTTTAGTCTAGCTTTCAGCGAGTTAAAATGCTTTGAATTTTCCAAAACTTAGTTTTACATCAGTAAAATTGTCAAAAACTCATTTAGAGCATTGAAAGTGTTTTACTTAACTTGTGGCTAACGTACTAGATTTCTTTTAAAGTTTTTTTGAAAGTTCTTTTCATCACAACAGGCACAAAAACCATACAAACAATTAAATGCGTAAAAATAAGTTTTTCTTAGTTTTTTTGAAGCGGCAAAGTATGCTTGCGCAGTACGCGTTTACTTTTGTTTGATTTGGGTGTCAACTTTGTTTTGCTTTTTTATTTAGCGATTTGCCTTTTTATAGGAGTTTCGTGTTTTGTTCGTGTAGTTGTGAGATAATCTGAACAAGAACTTAAAACGTGAAAAACAAACTCAATAATCATAGTTAATTCGACATAATCGAAAACAGTTTTTATAGAAAACAAAAAAATTATAAAAAAACAAAAAATCAAAAAAAAAGATTTTTTATACCCAAAAGGCGGTAAGAAGAACTTCTAAATATATTTTTACTGGAGAAAAAATATGTCTTAAGTGAAAGGCTAGCGGCCTTATATAACCATACTCGTTCGCTTTATTCGCTCGAATTTGGACTAAAAAGCAAAGATTATACACCGTTTTTTTCCGACAGAGAAAATCTTTTTTTTAAATATAAATTTTCATGTCTTTCGAATTAACTGAGAAGACTTTTGTATGATATATTAATTCACCCATTCCGTTGATTGTGGCATCTGATTTTGCGTGGAAAAAAATTAAAAAACTAAAACACCTGAAAACAAAATTCCTTGCCACTTTCTTGATCGGAACTATAACTGAAACATTTAATTATTGAAGCAAACATTAACACAACACAAGATCAAAATTCGAATAATCTTCGTTAAATTTGAATCAGGACATCGCCAGTCTTTCTGCATTATGAAGCGACTTTTTCAAACTATCAATCAAAGTTTTACACGCAGGGTCACTCGAAGACATGGAGGTCAATTTCACTAGTTCTTTGGAGACAAAAGGTGACATCACTTCAAAGAACGTCGATCGCCCAGAACTGGTCAATTTCTGGTCTCCCGAAGCCATAGCAGTATCCAAGAAATGTCTAATGAGAGCGTCGATAACAGACAACAAATGATACGGTTCTCCTAACATCTTCCATATTTTCTCTTTATTACTCCACAATTCAGTATACACAAGCATCAGTACGCTATGTTCCAATCCAAGTTGCAATAAAAGCAAAAATATCCAACTCACTCCTAATTTGAGCTCACAGGATCGCTTTTCCATGTGGTTTATAATTGTGTTCAGCGGTAAATACTGCTCGTTTTTCTCTACGTAATCTTTCGCAATTGCCGAAAACCGAGATGACAATGCCTCGACTGAAGTTCCAGTGCTTTGGGGATCCTTGGACCTCTCCGAGATGAAATCTTTGAACAGATTGTCAATCAATTCTGTCCATATAAACTGTATCTTGGTCGGATCGTTATGGCCTGCAACTACAATGCATGCAAGTTTGCATTCTGCTAAACTATAACTGCATGCAAAGTCCGAATAAAGACTAGTCAAATTGAACAACTCTGAATTTAGTAAACTAATTACATCTTCTTTATCACCAGACAGAATAGTTTTAGCTGCCCTCACTGCATTAACTACCTTAACTTGAACTTGCGCAACCTCCAGCTGGTCTTCGATCTCCTTAATCAGCTCTGGACTAACTTCTGGGTTCATAACTTTCGGAGATGAACTCTTAGCACTAACTAGCGCCCTTCCAAGGTAGTTCACTCTTTGACCGAGATTAACAAAGGTGCTTCTTCGGCCAGCAAGGCTGCATAATATTTGAGCCGCTTGTTCGTACTGGCCGTTCTTCTCATAAAACTTCCACAGTAATTCCAGCAACACGATTAGTTCTCTATCAGAGCTAGTTCTACATTGAGACGTGAGAACGTATTCTAAGCTTACATTCGCATTTTCCAAAATTGTATCGTACAAGCCTCTGTTGAGTAACCAATGAAACACTGCGTAGTGTAGCAATTCGTCGTCTTTAGCGAGACATTCGGAAATGACACCGTCGAAGAATGATCTCGCTTCGTGAGCAGTTAGATTTCCAGGGACGACAGAACTTTCAGAAGCAACGCTACCTCCATTTTCTATCACTGAATGGTAATAATGTACCATTTTCAATATGCACTGGTAGCATTCCTGACATGTATTGAACAATTGCCGCCCAATTAGATCATCGACTGGTTGCATGTTGCGATAATAAATCAGACCCAAATTTTTGGGATCTCGTTTTGCCGCTGCACACAGACACAAATCTACGATACCTTCACAGAAATTAACTTGCTGATAGTAGCCACAAACTTGTACCAAATCGACAACATTTGCTACTTGTTTGAACAACTCTAAAGATTCGTACAAGAAATGATCTTGACTGTCGGGATTCGGGGCCTTCAGTCCGTTTTGCAGAAGATCATTAGCTTGGACACAAATAGCGTCATCGGCGCTGAACACAGTCGGACATATTTCACGCAACTTGTTGATCAGTGGATCCGTTTTAACATTCTCAGATATGAGTCTGCCAAAAACTGTCACACATAGAAGGGATGTAACATCTGTTTTGTCAGTTGAAATGAAATCACGGAACTTCAGATCACGTAACTGCTGCTTCAGGGGTCCACTAAGACCAGCGAGCATTTCCTCGACATTGTAATCCATCAAAATGCTTAGGAAAGCAAGCAACTCTTCAGACTTCGTACAAATCAGTCGCAAATGGTCAACTGCATCTAGCTCAATTTTGAGCGCCTCTGCTGAAACTTGAAACTGCGAGACCCGTTGCGCTGCTGCCGATGAATGAACAGAGGGGTCAAATAATTTAGGAAACAGACTGTTGAGGTATCGTAATCTACGAAGGACTTCCAAGATCTGCGGCTTTGTCCACCTAAATTGTAGAGCTGGTACTTTCGAATTCAGTATCAGAGTCTCTTTCAGCAACGGAAACTCCCAAGTGAACCTCAGAACTCGTGAAACAAACAGACAAGTTCCCAAAAACTTGTCCGAATAAATAAAAGAACCCAATGTGTGAGTCATATTGTTGGGAGATGTGCTAACTTTAGTAGACGTTGAAACAAACCGAGGGTTGAAAGTGAAATCTTGAACTCCAGAAACATTTTGCTCTAGCGAAGTCGGGTTGTTGCGTATTCCTGAAAACTTAGGCTCGTTCCCGTATAAAATCATAGCTTGTATTGCCCAATTAGCTACGTGGACGAACGTCGAGCTGTCGTCAGCTGCCAAAAGAAGAGCCATCACGCATGCTTCAGCCGGTTTGAACAGCGAAGAGAAAAACATCTGGACTTGCTCGTTATCTGGACCCGAGTTTTCTAACAATAATTCTCGCAGTTGATCAACAGGTCTCAACTTTTCAACCAATAGCGTGCTGGTAGCGTTTAACATGGCAAACTGTTGTCGACTCTCGAAGAATTGTTCAACAAGACTAGAACATCGTGGCGCTAGAACTTGCTGGTTTTGGTTCAATTTAATCATGTCCCAAGTTAACTGATCTAAGTCTACACGCGTGTAAGATTCTTTTAGTGGAACTTGTGGTCCAAAGGAATCGTTTGATATACACCAAAGCGTTTCATTATCTCCGTCAGAACAACAACACATTAGTGTAGTGCCTCGAACGTGAACAGTCCGTCCAACATTTGAAGGTTTATCTCTTGATGATGACGTGAAACCCGGAGGCAAACGTACGTGTACGAGCGCCAGCATATACGGCCTAGTGTCGTGCGAATAGTTAAAGCCTTTCACGGTAAAATACAATCTAGCTCCGGTACTGGTAGTCATGAGTAAATTGAGATGCTCGCTTTCATTTCGATGTATTACAGCTATGTGAGATATGATTTTAAAATTGGATCTATCTACACTTCGCGTGATTGCACTAGCATTGTTCTGAATGGTTTGAATACTCATTGCAGCTGTCCTGTACAATTCGTTTCCACTCGCACCTAGATCAAAAAGACGAAGAGCGCCCTTGTCAGTTCGGGCAAACAGCAAATTTCTTCCTTCGTCGACTTCGAGTTGAACCAAAGCCTCGTCGGCTGACGCAGATAAAAAGGGCGAAACAAGTGGAACAACGTACGATAGGGTCGACTTCGAATGATTATTTTTCCAACACTTTGTTCCGGAAAACCAGCCGGCGCTAGGTTTGTAATCAACTTCGTGTAAAGCTCCGTCAGATCCGCCAAGAAATATGCGCCCAAGTTTAGTATTGACTGAACAAGTGAAAATACAACTGTCTGTTGAAATTCGGAAAAGGGGTTCGGTGTGCAGCACAAGTTCGGTTTTCATGTGACTTTCGTTAGACAACTCATCGACAACCTTCAAATTGAGCCCAAGGATTATGATTTCCGAAGCAGTGCAAATAACGAGAACATTCTGGAAAACTGCATTGTTGATTTTGATGCTTTTCGGTTTAGCGACCAAGGCTGTAAGTATTGTCTCACTCACTCCGTCAAAAAACGTTGGATCTGATCCATCTAAATAGTTCCATATGTACAAAGTATTGTCAATGGCAATCCATGCTCTTGAAATCAATGGGAAAAACCCGGAGACACAATGAGCTTGCATTCTTGGAAACTCGCTCAAAATATCAGCAGGTATGGGCACATTTTTGACCAGTGAAAGTTGTTTCAAAGTAAGCGACTGAGAAAGATTTGATCCAGGGATGTGCGGTCTGGTTACATCGGTTACAGAATTGGATAAAACTGGATAGTCGTAGTATTGCGATCCACTCATCGTTGGATTTGTATGGGCTGTTAAATTTAAGCATTGTTTTAAATCTATTCGTTCGCCGTCTTTGATTATGTCAGAGCTGATTTGTTGAATCAACTGATTTTGAAGCTCAGGAGAAAACTCACTCGCCATGCCTTTTCTGAAAGTATTACATGGTGTAACATTGGTTCAGAAAAAAATCGCAAATATCTACAGACAATGCCACATGTCGACAGAAAATGTCGTTCTTATACCTTTTGAATTAGCTGAATAGTACTAGATAATCGGTTATTGGATATGAAAACAAGCTCGCACTCACACTGACAAACTTGACTATGAAATCGATTTTTATACAGATAATAAAGTGCATATAAATTTATTTACGATAGCTCATTTAGGTACGTGGGTGAATCGATACACGAAGGATTAAACGGATTTCTATGGTAGAAAAAAATCAATTTTATTACCAGAAAAATCAATTTAAATAGACTTTTGCAAGGTATGTTGTCCTTACTGTTGTTGGTTTACAGCTTTGAGCTGATGGGTGTTGGTCTCTTTTCGTTTCTTTCAATAATTGTCCAGTTGTTTATGCACCGTTGGCAGTAACACGCAATTTGCCACGTGCAGATGTTGTTTTCTATGTAATGTTCGTTCACATAGTGCCACATCACTTTTAAGATTCGAATCGTCCTATTGTTGAAGGCGACAATTTCCGATGTACAACTCGGCATGTTCGAAAAATGAATTCTCCTCGTGCATTTTCCGTTCTTACGCTGGCGAGTTTAAAAACCCCCTTGTTCTCAGATTCGATTGCGGTTACTGCGATAGATATAAAAGCACAAGTCTTCTATGTTATAGGCTTGAGAGAAGACAATCTGCTAGCTGCATGAACATGGGAAGCGACAATACATTAGGAGTCTGCTAATGGAGAACGCTTTCACGAGGCGGCAGATGTAGATCCGGAAACGGATCTCAAAGTTTTGCCCACCACCGAGTGCGTGTCTCACGACACATCGACGACCTTCCGGGCTTTTGAAAGGGTGCTCAGCTAAACCCGCTTATCCGAGTCGCCTCCTCTTGATGGCGGGAGACGTGGAAAGCAACCCGGGGCCAGTCAAATGCCCTTGGAGTCAAATGGCAACAGGACTACAAGGCAGAGCAAGGACTGGGTCATTATCTGTGTGGACTGTCACCTCTGGCATCACTATATCCTCTTATGGGTGGCACTGCGGATGTGAATCCGCCCCCCAGAGTGCAGCTCCTGCTCAGAAAAGCAAGAAGAAGCCAAAAGTCATTGTGCAGCTGAACATCGAAGGCTGGAGGTCAAGTCGGTCACCTTCAATAAGATGCTGGAAGACGAGATCGAAATCGCGGTCATTCAAGAGACGAAACTGATGGAAGACTCCGCCACCCCGAACACCAACGGATGGCACGTTCACATACGGGAGAGGAAGATCCACCGGGCGAGCAAAGAGCAACCGCAAGGAGGTCTGGCAATTGTCTGCAGACAAGGGCTTGAGACCAAACGCCTTGACGATCTGACGCTGCCCAGACAAGCAGCCCTGGAGTCGCTTGGAATAGAAGTTGCGACTTCCAAAGGCAAGCTACAAATTTGGAACATGTACCTCCCGCCTGCGCGAGTCGGAGATGGTAGAGAAGCGAGTCTGCACCTCGACGCGTGGCCATGCAAGGAGAACGTCGTCATCTGTGCTGATGGCAATGCTCATGGCCAGTGGGACAAAAACTCAGAGGCCGACACCCGGTACAAAAATCGACGACTGGGCAGCAGACAACCAGATGATCATTCTCAACAACTGCAACGCGACAAGACTTGGCAACACTATGACAACGAAGAATACGAAGGAGAAAAGCTTCAACTACAAGAAGGCCGACTGGCCCTTGTTTAAGATTGAACTAGACAAGAAGCTTCGACAGTTCGACTCCGGCGACCTCCCTCTGGAGAAAGAATACAAGAAGTTCAAAGACCACAACCTGGGAGCTGCCAAAACTGCAATACCGACATGCGGAGTGGGGATAAGCTCCAAACCCTGGTGGAACAGTGAGTGTGCTGAAGGAAGGACACACTACAGAGAGTGCTTCCCGATATGGCAAGACGACATGACCGATGAGAAGAAAGAAAAGAAAAACTAGAGAAGAAACAACTAGATGATTGCATTCGAGACAGCAAGAAGCGCGCCATGAAAGAGTTCAATTCCGAATTGGACCCAAGAGACCCCAGCACGAAAGTCTGGAACACTCTGAAGAGCATGGAAGGTAGGAGAAAGCAACCGCTCCCGGAAGCGCCGATCTAGTCTGGCAGTTTGACGGCTAGGAGTGCACGCGACAAAGCAGAACTCGCTTTGAGAACGTATGCAACAGTGAGTCCTGTGAAGGTCGACCGGTTGAAGCAAAGAGAAGCTTACCTCGAAGTGAGGAGGAGACTCAACGAAACTCCCGAGGAAGACGACACTACCGGTGACACCTTCAGCAGGATCGAGCCGGATCACGTCATCCAGAAGATGAAGAGCGCAGCTGGTGAAGACAAGATCTACCCCTGCATGATCAAGAAACTGTCAGACAAAGGCCTCGACAATCTCCTGCGCATCATCAACAGGAGTTGGGCCGAAGGAAGAACACCTGGCGAATGGCGAAAAGCGGTCATCTAAGACAGCGGGTAATAGTGAGCGGAAGACTTGTCGGAACCACCTTTGGTTGCCGGGAGAACTGCTTGCAAATGTGCGTTATCATTCATTTTTATAATTTTTACTTTATACAAAGAATGTCCTTTAACTCGATCGTATGTTTCCAAGTTTTTTTTGCAGAAATCAACAATTTTTACGCAAAAACAGGTGTTTTGGCATTCTCAAGCTGTTTTTTGAGGTAAAACCTCTGACATGATTGCAGTTTATAAATTATCTCCAGCTATTTGTTCATTAAGTAATTCTTCGCGACAAGATTCATCTATATGGAAGCAGAAGACTACAAGCTCAAACTTGGATTTGATTTTTGGTTTTTGAACGCGGTTTTTGAAACTAATGATTGTTTTGTACTGCGTACTTGCTGTCTGTCATTGAAAAAAGAGCTCATTTTTTTCTGTGTTTAGGCTTAAGCCATAGTTTTTTCAATTTTACTATGTTTTTCAGGTCTCGGAGTCCTATATTTTGCAACAATCAACACGGTACGTTTGCCATCGATAACCATTCAAGATTACAACTATTTGTCCCCTCATTCACTTAATTCATTAAAATTTTTTAAAAAATGTTTCAGATTGACGGATATTGAGAGGACAGCGGATGCAAGTTCACTATTTTTTTCTAAGATTAGTGGAAACGGAACAAACTTATTCGTCAAAAGAATGTATTGCAATCGCAGGTTTCAGTTAATACCTTAAGGATGTTAATCAGACAAAAAACAACCCAGAGCTTGCTCAAGTTTCACGTTCAAAAACACGAATAAGCAGTAAATTAGCACAATATTTCGGAATGATATTGCCCACTCTCTCTCGTCATCAACTGGTAATACAACTGATAAACACCAAATATTTGTCAAAAGTGATAAACTGAACCGCAAAAAAGACCCTGGAAACTTCACAAACAAATGTACTGAATGACGAAAACGTCAATAACTGTACAAAAATCGATGCATCAATTAATGTGCCAGTCGGAAAAATGAAAGAAGTTTAATTTATTTATGTTCGAATTGAACTTTTAAAAAATTTGAAACGACTCTGTCAGGCTCAAGTTCCTCGCGGCAACTGCAATACGAAAGTCAAAAGTTAAAACAAAGGAATCTAAAATTTCGGGAAAACCGATCAAAAAAAACAAGTGTCAATTTGCTGTTCGCAAATTGTCTATAAATATCATATTTGAGTAGAGTTGTCTTGTTCCTGACAGAGAGCACAAAGAGTGGGTACGAGAGTGCAGAATGTGGAGCAAGAGTCAGCAGTTCAACTGAACAGGTTTCCATTTTTATCTGAGGAGGTTTCCTATTGAACTGCCTGACTGTCCAAATTTTCTTTAGTTTTTCTTTATAAACTTTATATTACTTTGAGCTAGACTTAATTTACTTGTTCGTGTCTGGAGGTAACTCCACAATTGTTGTCCAGATGTGAGGATCTGAATTCAATAACTTGATTGCTTTTTATCTGATTATGTTGAGGGGACTCGGATTGTAGGTTGATCTATATGAAATGGATCAAATGCACACTGTCTCATAAAAACTTATGGCTTTTACTTGAGGTCCCAGCGCTGCTTTCAATGGGGTTCGAGTGTTAAAGGTGTTTACCGACCTAGCCGTGGGGCGTACCTATTTCTACCTAGAGTGAGGGGTATTTTGGTAGTGGCCTTTCAGCTTTAACAATTCTAAAGTTCCATGTCATTAGCAAACTGCGAATTAGCTCCACTTGACACAGCTCCGAGCAATATGCCCATACTAGAGTTCCGGTGCTACGTTTCAACATGAACGTTTCCACCTTCTGGTCTAAGCATGATAGTTTCTTAGGAAGTTTTCTGAAAATTTCAACGGGCGCGCTTTTGGAACAAGGGCTAGCTTGACTAAGGAGAGCCAACCCGAAAAAAAATTGGATAAACAGATCGCAAAACGAAAACAAAAAACAGAAAGATTAGAAAAAAAGGCAAAAATGGGTAATTGAGTACGAGAGCCGCTGGTGCTTGTAACATAGTGCTACTCGCCTATGTTAGTCATTCTTAACTAGTTACCATAATTGGAGCATATTAAATAATCAATTGCTATTCTAAATGTCAATGTGAAAGTGTTAAATGATATTTGTTTAATGTAAACAATAAACTGATGAATGTTCAGTATAACTGAGAGAGCCATTATAATCAGGAGCTCGCTAAAAGGAGACAATTCAACTAGTAACACTCACTTCTAATCTTAAGCTCAGACACTAGCGAAGGTTGAAACTGACATCACAAAGCGCATCCCTGAGTTGAAGATTCACTAGCCTAGACCACACATCCAACATACATACATACTTCAACACTCTAGAAAGCATTCCTCAATCAACCAATCGATTATAGCCAGTAAAGGTATATAACATGGCGACTATGAGTGGGATGATGTTACCAACCTTTCAAGACAAGCTGAAGCTGATTGCAAAGTGAGAGTGAAAACAAGACGACATCCACCACAAG